ATTTTTCGTTGAGAAAGAGGCAACGTTTTTGCTTTTCTCTTGGCTTTTTGCCGATTTTTGAAAGTTTAGATCCCAAATAATTCATTAAAAGGTGGCTATTAGCTCTGATTATAGCACCGAAACAGTGTTTTGCTGATTTAGTGACGAATTAGGTAGAAAAACCTAAAACTTATTTGGTTTCACGTTTTCGAGTTGGTGAAAAAAGGCCAATTTACATTGGTAAGTCCCTTATTTTCTTACTTGTTAATACTAAATTGAGGCTTTACTGCTGGAAATATTCGAATAAATCGTACATACCTTATTCTTCAGAATCCTGACGCAATTTTCATTGTTTCAGGTCTTTTTTTCACGTTATGGTTGCCATTTTTGTTTGTATCTACACCCTACCAACCAAGTGACATCCAACCCTATTTTGTGAATTAATTATTTGTTTCGACGATTGTGTATTTATTTAAAGTGAGTGCCGACTATTTTTAGTATAGGTACGTTATCAGTTATTATTATTATTTTTTTTTATATCTACCAGCTGATTTTTGCCGGTGACCATTTCTGTTTTCAATTTTCAGTTTGATGTTAAAGGTAATATTTGAGGGAAGATTGATTACATTTATTGATCTGAATTGAAGCGTTTCATTGTACCCTTTTAGGCAATTTTAGTTTGACAGGTGCAGTACCGTTTAGCTGTTGAGCTTTTCTGTTTTGTTTTGGAATATCGGAACTCCGTTTAACTGAAGGGCATTAAAACAGGTGGCGCTTTTAAGTTAATTACCCACCCACTCTCCACTAAGAGTTAGTCGGAGTCTCCTTTCTCGTCTTTTAGTACTGTGGCCACCTTTCTAAATTTTAATTTTCACTTCACTTTCACTTTTCTCTCTTTTTTTTTTAAATTTCATTTTCTTTTTTTTTATCACCTAACAAATTGGCGATTTTTTTTTATAGTTTAGTTTAATTATTTTTGACTTCCATTTTTTTTTGCGTGACGCATAGTTGGACTGTTTTTTTCTGTTACTTGCTGGTAGTCCGGGTTTATGTTTGTTTGTTTTGAAATTTTCTTTCTCTTCCCAGATTTCAAATTTTTTTTTTTTTTGCGTATCGGTTTTGAGGGAGGAAAACAACAAAACATTTTGATTCAATTTCGTTCCCTTTAATTGTTTTTTTTTCTCTCTAACGCTATCATGGAAGTCAATCTATTGGGAACCGAGGAAATAAAGTAATGGTCAGAGGGAAGCTCCGTCTAATAGGGTAGTGGACAAGGTATAATTTCAATGAAATCGATGATCTATTCTTCATCTATGGAGTAAATAAAAAATATTCGTATCAAAAGAAATTTCAGATAAAATTACTAACCTTGTTTAAAACGGCGGTAAAAGTAGAGTTTTGGGACGCACTATTTGAAAGGAAATTTTTCGCGCCCTGATTCTACGTCATAGCTGTTGTATTTAAGTATGAATTAAAAAAAAACTTACGTCCGATATTCGACACAAACTTACTCTTTAGTGCAAAGAAGAGAGATATATCAGCGTCTCTCGGGTATTATTACATTTAGGCGCACCGTCAACATAACCCCACTTTTTGATTTATCAGCATCTTTTTCTAAAAGCATGTAAAATATAAGGACGCGCTATTGGACATACATAACAGCTATGACGTAATTTCCTGGCGGTAAATTATAGCGTTTAAAATAAGTACAAATTTGTTATTTTTTTTTACGAATATTTTTTTTTCCTAAAAACAAAGAATCATCAATAATTGTTTATTTTGTTATGAAGATTAAAAAAAAAAATATATTTCAAAAAATTGTCCACTACCCTATTCCTGCTTCGATACAGATAGTGAGCTATGTATTTGTCAGTGTAAACTAGTGACTTTGAAAAGAGAAACCCTTAATTTTGATCGTGGAATCGGCAGTGAAACAGGATTTGCTTAAACAGTGTGTGGATCTATTTGGTCGTCTGGTTATACTTCGTAACCAAGATATTGGAGTCCCTCAACCCAACCAAAGCCTCTTAGATATGGACAACCCCCCATTGTCCGAACATAATATCAATTCAATCGCACAGTTCAATATTATCGAGTCAGAGGATATTGCCACATCACACGATTTAATTTCCTTTGATGGCGATGGTCCTCCTTTGTCTGGTACAACTCCACTTACGTCGACATCGATACCTCAAGTAGCACAAGAAGCTACAAATATCTCGAATCCACCCGCTTATTCTAATCGACGCGCTCCTCCTCATCGACGAATTATCTTTGCACCTATCCGTGTAAACTTTGACAATCCTTCTTCAAGTTTTCTAGATCATTAGTTCCATCAAGGCAATAATTCGATACATAGGACTCTTACTCATCCTACCTATGAGGATCCTATCGTTAATGTTGATGAATTAGGTCCTCTTCAACAACCCCCGGCGAGGTTAGGCTTGAATTCTGGACAGTGGGTTGGTTCTGATCGTTGTCGCGAATCTCGTAGAGCTCCACCTCTGCCTTCCGATTTGACTGAACATGTTCCCTCGTCATATGGACAATTTCTTCGCGGACACCCAGAAACGGCACATGGTTCTTCTGCGTTTGAATATCCTCCGTCGTGGCACAGAACTGCTGCTCCTGATACTATCCCTCGAGTCTCCAGGTCATCGAGACCAACAAATATTCATCCAGTCTCTTCGCAGGAAAGACCATCTCAGGTTCGTTTTCAGGATGAATATCCAAATTTTTCCAGGCAAGCCCACGTTAATTCGACTCGTCCGACTGAACCCTTGAGTTTCGCAAATTCTTCTGGTAGGTAATCTTGCGGATAAAGTGAACAATTACCAATTCTCGCCTCTCCGAGGAAACTTCGATCATTCTCTCACACCTCCGCCAACGAAGTATCAAAATGCGTCATCGTGGGGTATCAAATACGATGGTCGCACTAGTGTAACCGATTTTCTGGAACGAATTGAAGAGCTTCGCATATCCAGTGTGACAAAATTGAGATCTTACGAAGAATAAACATTTTGGTAGCGTGAATAATTCTGTCACATCTTAGTTAACGTGGGTACCATAATTATGCTGTAAATTAAATTTAATCTGAAAAGGATCCTAAATACCAAATTTTCTGAACCGGAGGCAATTCAAACAAAAACCTCACTTCTTTTCTTCTTCGGTTATGGTTAGTGCAAAGGGTTAAAGATTCAAGATGACTTACCTTTTTTATGGCCAAAGTTGCTATCTCCCCTCCTCAATTGCACAAACCGGCACGAAAGATCTTTTTCGGCCACTACCAGTGATTAGCGCAATATGACACCAAAAAAATGAAAACTCCTTTCTTTTAAAAAGAATAAAATTAATTTATTTAAAAAAAAAGAATGAGTAATAAAAAAAAAAAAATTTGGAGAGCTTTTCCACTAATCACTGAGTAGTAGATGAACTTAGGAGAAGAACGAAGAACGGATCGAACGACGACTGTGACGAACACAAACTCGTTAAGTTTTTGTTTTACTCGTACAATTTCCGACGATAACTGCCGAAAGCTTCATCAACTCTCGCTTAAATAAGCGAGAGAGAACCACCCCCTATTTCTTCAGGGTACCATTCTTAGCAGCTCATTGGCTAGCTGTTAGTACCTAGCCCTTTCCCATATTCCTTATTGCTCTTTCCTTATTGGTTCACGTATCATTCATTCTATTTACACCCTTAGTGACATAGTTTGAAAGCCCTCCAATAGAGTTCGCTAGTCATATGCAGAATATCATTTTGATAACCGAAATTACCGTTTTCCCTTTAATTGGAAAATCCTACATTCTATATGCCTTCTGTTAACCTAGTCAAACATTTTCTTTGTTTTATAATTATTATATATAGCTTTTAATATGACAGAGTTCATGATAATTATAAAATAATTTTTTTAAGGTTCCATCTGAGTGCAAAATGCTTAAGACAGCAATAATATCCGAAAGAAAATGTTAGTAAATTAATTTTATAAATGTTTCACATAGGGCTAATAAAACAATTTAATATAAAACAGATTTGTTCGGTGAGCTAAAATGTCATATAAAATTATTGTGTAAACGTTTATAAAACAATATTAAAATTTGTCATTAAACTGTTTTGTATTTTTGCTCCAAGAACGTTCTTACGACTACCTTATAGAGCAGAATACTTCTTAGAAGCTTAATTATGTCGCTTGCAATTTTAATAAAACAAAATGGCGTTCGACGAGCAGTAATAAACTAATTATAAAATAAAATAGCAGCGGAGAGTTAAAAATTATAAAATATAATTGCTAGTTGGGGTGTGAAATGAATTAAATTATTCTATACTTAAATACTAATTTATGCCTAAAATAATTGAATAGTTAACTATCTCCTGCGATTTTCCAAATAATTGGATAGTTAACTATCTCCTTTGATTTTCCTATTCTATACAATTTTGTGTTACTGTATCTTGGAAAATCTGGTTCCCGTAATCATTGTTTTAGCCCAAACACACATGCTTCGAATATAAGTTCTCTGACATCTGGGTTCGCCATAAAACGTTGGGAATTATCGTTCTTGAATACTTTATTACAAACATATGTCGTAATCTGGTGCAGCTACAGATTAGAATCACATTTGGTGTTTATCTAGGAGAACACATAATTTTGCCTGATAAATTTGTCAATTTGGCTTATTTTTGACTTGAAAACTAATAAAACTTGATACATTTTGCTTTAAGTGTTTTCCCTTAATTCTCGACCAGATTAGTTATCGTTCCCAGAATCGCCATATATGTTTGTAAAACCCATTAAGATAAATTTTTAGCTATTTCTAAAAACCGTCTCTGGTAATTCCCATGAAATACGTACTTGAACCGAGATTTGAAATTACTATTAATTCTGTTACAAATTACCCTCCCCTTAAGTTCGAAGCATGTTTGTACACTTCAAAACAATAATTACTCCCAACCAAACCTCCAAGATATAACACCTTATCCCGACAATTATAAATACTTAATAAACGAGCGCACACACTCGCGAACTATGGGTCACGCGGATTATTTTTTTCGTTGTTCAATTTACAGTTAGGATCACTACAAGGCGCGGTAGACTTCGGCAGTATTGGATAAAACGAACTGCTTGATTGTTCCTGCGGGGCGGTAGCATCAACTGACACTGGATTCAATTCATTCTTCTGGTCTTCTTCGTCCCGATCTCTTCTTTGGCTGGCTAACTGATACAAATATGTATGAGCTAAAGTATTCTACAGACTGGCTAAAAGGTATCGTCGGCGTCGTGGATGGTTAACTGTTGCTTCTTTGATGGTGAAATATTTTGATACGACGCCGGCCAAATAACTAACGGCGCAAGCTATGGTGTAAAGGAACCCACAAATGGAAAATAAATTTCCCATTTTGGATAAAAATCCCCACACTTCCTCAGCAGCGGCATGTGCTAAATTGGTAAATTCGGTTTTGCTGAACAAATTTGGCATGTAATAAGGGTCTGAGCTATCGAGGGCTATGATCCTCCTGGCAACTTGATTAGTTACTGCTTTTCTGGTATTTGGATATAGGAGTGTTTGCTGGAAGCTTTCCATGTCTTCCTTGGAATAAATTCCATTGGAACTGATAGGGGAGATGGAAATACTTGGCATTGATAGTTTGTCTTCTTCATCATTGGCATCTAATTCTGAAGCGTCGGTGGTGCGCTTTAGGTCAGGTGTTATTTTCCAACTTGAAATTAACCGGAAGTAGTGGTTGATATCCTACTTTGGTTCCATGTTCAACTAGGATGTGAGTAATAGCAGTTCTGTATAGTGATCTATTCAGATAGGTAACGGGAAGTTCTTGATAACAATATGAAGTCTTTCGATAGTCTACGACAACAGCTCTACATTTAGCAATATAGAGTACTTCTCCCATCACTCTACTAACATATCCTGAGGTTTCTTTTACCAGATTACCCACTGCGTCGGGCGATTGTTTTGCCATTGCTAATCTGTTCTGTAATAACTTCTCTCTCAAATGACATCTCTTCATAATCGAGTCGTAGATGACATCAGCCATTTGTCTTTTTACTTCAATCTCCAAATACAAGAGTTTACTTAGTACTTGAGCCAACATGTCTGTATTTTGAGGAATTCGAATAGTACGATGGTAATAGAATCCAACTGAATCCTCAAAAATTAGAAGTAAGCGGTTTTGTTCAGTTAGCCAAGCCTTTTGAGCACAAATTTCTTCTGGCTTTGTCAGTTTTAAAGCAAAAACTGTATCTGTGGTTTCCACAACGACGTATCTATTAGGTGGGTTTCGACTTAATACAAGGAGAGTAGCGTTTCCTTCGTATAGTACGTCGACACCACTTGTAGAGCATAAACTAGATAGATGTTGTTGCCATGTAACTTCGCCTTCAGCATTATCAAAACAATAACCATCATTGTACGGACAGACACCACCAGACCGTAGGGTAACTAGATTTCGTTCGACATCGGCAATCGCAACATAATCTTAGAGTTTAATGGATATTGCTGCAGTAACTACGACATTAGTATATTGGATGGAACCCACGGCGAATCTTACACCTTCGCATCGACCATTGGCGTCGGCAAAACCTAGAAGAGTTGCCGAAACTTCTGTGGTTCCATTTAGATTAAGTTTGGAAATAACACCAGCTCCCATTCCTTTGAGATCTAACTGACGGAATCGGTGAGCCTTCAGACATTGTTCTGGTTCTATGTGCTGAATATATTTTCCAAAACCTCCGGCTACGGTACTGCGATGACTATGCATGCCGCAATGATCAATGAGTTGTTGGACAGTAACTTGATAGGTGAGTATGTGAATTGGTACATATTGTCGTTTTTGTACCAGCTGGATTCGTCTGAAGTTGGACTCGGAAAAATTACGAGGGTCTTGGCATGGTTTTACTGCCAGCAAAGACACTTTTGTCAATTCGGTCGCTCGGTCGGCGCAATCATAAGCAATAATCTCTGGGCGTGCTGTCCTCAAGTAATAGAGAAAAATCAAAATAAATTTTATGATTTTCATGTTTCCCTTCTTTCAAATCTAAAACATTAAAAAAAAAAAATTATGTATGCTTAACCTAACCGTTTGAATTTGAATCTAAGATTTGAATACATATCGATACTGTCAGTCAACGACTACAATTCGGTAGCCAGTTCTCCTAATCTATACTGATTTCTTGTGCGTCTAGCGATATTTCTCTATACAAATATCAAAAACTGACAACCACAAAACAACAAATACAACATTATTATAACATTTCTACCCTACCCCTATTTAAGTCTAATCCAAGGAGTCTAAAACATAATCTTCAAACCTTTTTGGTAACTGTCTTATTCGTTGAGGTCGAATTTGCTGTTCTAAAGGCTCCGGGTTTCGTATGTTTATAGAAACTTGAGCTACATCATCATTTATCTCTCGATCTGCATCCAAGGACCTCATAGAGTCATTTCCATGACTATCAATTATTTGGTTATCATCATCAACACCATCTCTTGAAATATTCGAGGATCTATTCAAGGGATCCGTTTCTGCTATATTTCTATTACTCTCGGTATTTCCATTTTCTAAGACTGACGACATTCTATCAGTTCTGTCTACATTCTCCTCACTTTCATCCGTCACAATTTCTTCTTCACTTTCACTTTCACAGTCTAAAGGAAAATAATTTTCCTTAATTCGATATTTTAGAGGAACATTTGCCAATTGATTGCTAGTTTCTTCTGTCGCTAAACATAATTTTAAACGGTTGACATGTTGACCTTTTTCCTATGTTTTCCATGAACTTCTGTAATTTCTGCATTTACACCTGTTAGTTTACTGATTCTGTATGTTCCGGTCCATTTCTTTGCCAATTTCTTACTGATTCCAACTTTATCCGCTGGTTCGTATAAATAAACCTTATCACCTAGTTTAAATTTATGTGGAATTGCTTTCTTATTGAAGTTATCATGGTATCGCTGAGTATTTCTTTCTATATTATTTAAAGCATTTTTATGGGAAATTTTCATTCTTTGTAGAAATTCTGAAACATAATTTGTATCAGTATTGTACTTGACCCTTAAAGGTTTAAAAATCTCGTCAAACGGATATTCCATATCTCTGCCAAAGAGTAAAAAGAATGGACTTTCTTCTGTCGTGTTGTGAGTCGCTGAACAGTACGATGCAAGGGCAAAAGGTAACCATTCGTCCCATTCTCGCTGTCCAGGCTCAATATAATGTGATAACAAATCCTTCAGAGTTCTGTGAAATCTCTCTAAAGCACCATTGGTCTGCGGTCTATATGCAGTGGTTTTGAGATGATTAATTTGTAAATTCTCACAAATACTTTGCATCAATTTTGACAAAAAGTTAGAGCCTAAATCCGTTAAAAGCTGATGTGGTGTTCCATGTCTTAGGATAATTCCTTTAATAAAAGCTTTTGCAACTGTTTCTGCTGTTTGATCCGGTAAAGGAAACGCTTCCACGTATTTTGTTAGTGCATCTTGAACTGTTAAAATATATTTGTTTCCCTGTAATGTAACAGATAAAGGTCCTACCACATCCATAGCAATTCTGTAGAAAGGGTATTTGGGAATGGAAAATTTCTGTAGCGGGGCAGGTTTTTGATGACTGTATGTTTTCCGCCTTGCGCATGGATCGCAAGCATTAATATATCGACGAATGTCTTCGGTCATATTTGTCCAGTAGAAAAATTTTCTTATTCGTGCGTATGTTTTATCAAAACCCATATGTACCGAAAAAGGCAAATCATGATAAAATCGTAGAATATGTGGTATCAAATATTTAGGTGCTTAAAGTATATCATTGTTAGTTCTGTCATTAGAAACTTTGTAAACTAATCCGTCTAAGTCGATGTAGTAATCATTCCTTTTTCCTTGATTAATTTTTCCAATAAGGCTTTTAATATTTTTATCAGCGTATTGTTGTTTTTTAATTGTGTCTCTACACCATATGGGCTCGCACTCATGTTCCTGATGAATTAATCTAATTGGCTTGATTCGCGATAAAGCGTCTACATTTGTGTGTTTCTTCCCACACTTATATTCTATTTTGAACCTGTATTCTTATAAGGCTAACGACCATCGCATGAGTCTATTACTTGGATCTTTTACTGACATAAGCCATTTTAGTGGTTGGTGATCTGTATAAACTGTGAATTCTTGTCCCCAAAGGTAGTTTCTATATTGTTTAATACCCCACATTAGAGCTAAACATTCTCTTTCAGTAGTGCAATAATTCTTTTCGGCTTTATTCAATTGTCTGCTTGCATATGCGACAGGATATTCTTGGCCTTCATATATTTGATGTAATATCGCACCAATCGCATAGCCAGAAGCATCTACTGACAAATAAAATGGTTTTGTTGGATCTGGATATTTGAGAATTGGTTGATTTATTAGCACTTTTTTTAAGTACTCAATGGATTCTTCGCAATTTTCATCAAAATTAAATTTGACATTTTTCTTAGTTAGGTGTGTCAAAGCTGCGGAATATTTAGAAAAGTCAGGTATAAATCGTCTATAGTATCCAACTAACCCCAAAAATGATCTGACTTCTGTTATATTTGTCGAAATGGGATAATTTTTAACTATCTCCGTCTTTTTTGGACAAGGTCTTATTCCATTTTTAGATATTATATGACCTAGGTAAGGAGTTTCGTCTTTGGCAATTACACATTTCTCTGGATTGAGCGTTAATCCAGCTTCTCTTAAAGCTTCAAAAATTTCCTTTAATCGAGATATATGTATATCAATATTTCCTGATGAAAATATTATAATATCATCCAAGTATACGTAGCAATGTGTCCCAATAAACTTGGAAAGAATACACATCATTAATCGTTGCCAGGTAGCTGGTGAATTCACTAATCCAAAAGGCATTCTGTTGCATTCAGAATGTCCCGAGGAACGGAAAATGCCGTTTTTTCACGATCTGTTGGCTCTACTTCTACCTGCCAATATTCTTTCGTCATATCGAGAGTGGAGAACATTTCCGCGCCTCCTAAAGAATCTATAGTGTCCTGGATATGTGGAATTGGAAAAATGTCTCGTTTCGTGATAGAATTTAATTTGCGGAAGTCAATGCAGAACCTAAATTTCTTTTGTCCATCTAGGCTTTTCTTTTCCACTAAAACTACTGGTGCACTCCACGGTGATATAAAAGGTCTAATTATGTATTGTTCCAACATTTCTTTTATTTGTTTATCCATTTCTTCTCCCATAGCATAAGGTATTCTGTACGAAGCTTGTCTAATTGGCAAATGATCCCCTGTATTGATCTTATGAGTAACCATTTGTATAGCTTTCAATGACGTATTATCCTTTGCAAAAATATCAGAATAACTCTGTAAAAATTGCATCATCTTACTCTTATCCCCTCCTTTTAAATGAAAAACCATATTCTCCACAATATGGCCTTCATAACAACTTGTATGAATTTCACTAAACTTTCCACTGACATAATCCGTTCCATCCGCTCCACAGAGAGCATCAGCGGTGGAACATTCTTTCAGCCTAGTCACATCCACCAAATTTAAAATGGGCGTGTTTTGATAAATGGTCTGCGGTATTGAAGAAGTATTCAGAATACGAACTACTATATTTCTATTTTCTTTTGTTGAATTTTCAGGAATTTCTATTACACTACACGCGGTAAGAATACCGACATCTGTATGATTTAATGGTTCACAGACTTTAATGCCTGCAGGGACCCGGGTGTTTACAGGTATATTAAAATCGCAACCGTGAAAAGCAAGTATTTCCAAGTTTTCACGCAATTTTACTACATGTGGTCCTTTAGATGTATGATCACAATTGGAGAATTGCGCATTTCCTCCTGTAGCAAACTGGTGAAATTCATTACTATTTTCTATCTCAGTGTAGTTCGTAAACTGTTTCAGTCTATTATCAATCTGGTGAGTTTCAGGATTTTCATTAAGATACCCTGTATCTTTCCTATCTTCCTTACTACTCAAAACTATTGGTGGATCAGTCAACTCACACTTATTTTTCCCGTTTCTAGAGGTTGGTACCCATTTTCCTTTAAATAAATCCACCACGGCCTCACTGCCAGTGGATTTAGTCTCTCTAAAACCATTTACAATAACAAAATCATTTTTCTACGAGCGTGCATTTTTTATCACTTTCCCGCACGCATTTTAGTTCCGAAAATGTCACTTTCTACGCAAGTGTCAGTTTTGTTAATTAATCAAACATTTTATTAATTTTGTCTGCATACATTTTTGCTATTTTAATCCATATTAATCTAATTTGTGGATCTTTCAAAAATGTTATAACTTTTTTTGATATTGTATACAGGTATGTTTTTTTTTAACGTTCCCATGATGCTGTGCGCGAAATGCTACTTTATATATATGCTACTTGTATATATACTTGTATATATATATATATATATATATATATATATATATATATATATATATATATATTATATATATATATATATATATATATATATATATATATATATATATATATATATAGTGTAGGTATTCGTGACTGGTAGCTAAAAAGTTTTAAGACTTTTAATTAGACCCAGACTGATACCCCAGAAAATATCTTCCATTTATATATATATATAGAAAGAGGAGGACAGTAACGGGGTACTGGTAACAACAAAGGAAAAGTTAATAGATGAGATTCCCCAAAATGCTAGAGGTAGCCAAAGTAAAACGATGTAATGTGCTACTAAGTGTCTGTTTATTCAAATCATCAAGCTTTCGTCTACCATTGCAGACTTCATCAGGACGCTAAAAATAACAATGAAAACTCCTTACTAAGAGACAATTAACACTTTTTTTGGAGGCAGAAGGCCCAATAAACTTACTTGAAATTCAAGACAGCTCTATTGCAGTAATAAACAATATATAATAACTGAGTGCATAGTGCACTTTCACAGAAGACTTATAACTCGAGGATGTCATGTAAAAATCTAGATTTCAACCAAACGTTTATCAATATAACAGAATACAACATTTAAGTAAAAGGACGGACGTAATTATTTTGTAAAAACACATATCCAATAGAGGATTACAACAGATTAAAATAAAAGTAATATAATTAATTAATTAGGTCATCAAAACGTTCAATTGAAAACACAAAACAGCTGGCGAAAAAACTGACAGCAGACAGAATAAAAACAATGACAGCGTCAAAGTCTATCAATCTTCATCTGCTTGGAGCCCAAAAAAAAAGAAGAGAAGGAATATGTCAAGTTGTTTGAGGTTATGTTTTACTCTGTCATCCTTAAACCAGACTATCAGCTGGCAGTTAGCTATTCTCCCAACTAAGGGTACAGATATTCATATTATTCAACCATACATCATCTTTACTTTATATTATACAATCAAAAAGAATTCAAAATTACCAACAATGCAAGGGAGGCAAGCTTCCAAATTAGTCAATATTATTAAAAATAGTTACATTCCCAAGATTTCGTCTGGAAAAAACAATCAAACAAAGACGGAGAAAACTAACCCCAATTCTTTCGGACGTACTCTTGTGGATATTTTTTATTACTGTTAGTTAACTTTTGTGAAAGTAAATAGGTATATATTGAACTCAGGCCCTCGACATCTTTTTTATGATTTAGACAATTATCACAATTATAAATGTAACACATTTCCAGGATCCTCCTTTTATATGTATTCTTTTCGGAATGTAATATAAAGGCATCTTTATAGTGGACAATATGGTCGTTGTTATTCACATGTGTACTAAGGCTAGTACTCAGAGGTTTGTGCCTACAATCACTTTTATGTAGAGCTACCCTTTTCGTTAACTTTTGTGAAGTTTGACCAATGTATATTTTCCCACAATCACATTTGATACCATAGACTACATCCGATTTCTGGAGTGTAGGAGTTTTGTCTTTTAATGATGTATAAAAGAGACTGAGTTTTTTTTGGTTATAGTTAGCCACAATTATGTTATGTTGAGATAAAAGTCTAGAAATAATTGGAGATAAGTTCTCAATGAATTGTAGTTTTACATATTTTTTGTTTGGAATAGGAAGCTCACCCTCAATGTCATTGACAGGCTGACGACGGTTGAGTGTACCATTGCTAAACAATAATTTATTAATCAAGTTAGGTGGGTATTGGTTATTAATGAGGATATCTTTGAGTAATCTCAGATTTTTTTCCAACAAAGTAGGATGTACAATCTTTTGGATTCTGTTCTTTAGAGCTAGTATTGCATTAATCTTCTGTTTGAAGGGATGGTAAGAAGAAAATGGTATGTATCTACCTGAACTAGATTTTTTTCTGTACCAATCTAAGATCACTCTATTTTCTCCAGTACGAATCACCCTAGTGTCAAGAAAGGGAACAGACAAATCAATTTCCTCTTCAACTGTAAATCTTAAATTATCATTAAATGAATTGAAAAGGTTCAGAGTTTCACCTACCCTATCCGCAGGAACCGCTGTTAAAAGGTCATCAACGTATTGATAAATAAAAGGGAAATGAAATTGTGTATTATTAGTGACATAATAAAGCAATTTATTCATTACTATTTCTGCTAGGATAGGGGAAGTGGCACCGCCCATTGGTAGCCCCTTTACCTGCTTATAGAAGAGCCTATTGAAACAAAAGAAAGTATTATTGTAAAGATAATTAATAATGCTAACGAAAACATTACAAGGGATCTTGGTGTTGGGTTCTATTAATTCAAAGTGTTCTTCAATAATTGACACAACCAAATCCAATGGAATATTAGTAAATAACGAGACCACGTCAAATGACACCAGTACAAAACCCTCCGGCAGTTGAACATTATTAATTTTTTGAGAGAAGTCAAACGTATCATAGATTTTGAACTTATTAAAATTTGAGAAAGACCTGTAAAGAATTTCTGATATAAACTTAGCCAAAGGCTGAGTTGAACTTCCTATACATGATATAATAGGTCTTAATGGAATATCTGGTTTGTGAACTTTAGGTAAGCCGTAGAATTTTGGACAAGTACCATTGTACGTTGTAAGTGTCTTTGCCACTTCGCTAGAAACAAATTCACTATTTTTTAAGGTTTTAATCAAATTGTTACAGCTATTCTCTACAGACGAGATGGGGTCTTTTGCAACAAGTTTATAGGTTTCAGCATCATTCAAAAGTTCTAAGGATTTATCCACATAAGCATCTCTATCTATAGCTACGGTAACATTTCCCTTGTCTGATCTAGTAATGACCAAATTAGGGTTGTCTTTAAGAAACTTCCTTGTTACTAGTTCTAGATTGATTGATAGAGAAGGGAGCTGTGTACCTGCATGGACAAAGTTAGTAATTGCATTGGTAATCTGAGATCGAAGTAGATCCTGGCTGTCAGGCCTTACATACTGAATTGCAAATTCCACCTCAGAGATTAAAGTGAACATATCTATGTCGCCATTAGACATTGGTAAACTGAATTTAGGTCCCAACGCCAAGAAACCCTGCACTTGTTCAGGTATATTAGAACTTGATACATTTTTAAACCAAGATTGGTTGTCTGTTGTGAAGAGATTTTTTCTTTTGTCTAACAAAGCCCTAATTTTTTTAATATTACTATTTTTAACACTATTGAAGTATCTGTTATAATTTCGATCTTGAAAAAACATAAAATCGTTAAACATATAGCCAGGAATAGCATTTTGGACAATAGTATACAAATTATTTAATTGGGTTTCCAATTTTTTGATATGGTTATTCGTGTCACGTATAGCAGAATTGTGCAACTTTGTAGTTACCTGTTGTGCAAGTGTATCCAATGTTCTTGTGTTTTCGTGTGTGATGTTTTGTGGAATGTTCCAGAGCTTCTTGACGCTCTGGGACAGAAACGTAGGTGTGACATGGTTGCGTTTACATTCTAGGAGGTAAAATCTTCTGTTCCTCTGGGCTGCAAGCCTTCTGTTTGTGTTGCAATATGCTTTAAGGTCTTGGACCACTGGGTCTCCATAAGTGGCTCTGACTCGGTCGTAGAAAGTTCCCATCATTAGTCTACAATTATGAAAGAGGAGGACAGTAACGGGGTACTGGTAACAACAAAGGAAAAGTTAATAGATGAGATTCCCCAAAATGCTAGAGGTAGCCAAAGTAAAACGATGTAATGTGCTACTAAGTGTCTGTTTATTCAAATCATCAAGCTTTCGTCTACCATTGCAGACTTCATCAGGACGCTAAAAATAACAATGAAAACTCCTTACTAAGAGACAATTAACACTTTTTTTGGAGGCAGAAGGCCCAATAAACTTACTTGAAATTCAAGACAGCTCTATTGCAGTAATAAACAATATATAATAACTGAGTGCATAGTGCACTTTCACAGAAGACTTATAACTCGAGGATGTCATGTAAAAATCTAGATTTCAACCAAACGTTTATCAATATAACAGAATACAACATTTAAGTAAAAGGACGGACGTAATTATTTTGTAAAAACATATATCCAATAGAGGATTACAACAGATTAAAATAAAAGTAATATAATTAATTAATTAGGTCATCAAAACGTTCAATTGAAAACACAAAACAGCTGGCGAAAAACTGACAGCAGACAGAATAAAAACAATGACAGCGTCAAAGTCTATCAATCTTCATCTGCTTGGAGCCCAAAAAAAAAGAAGAGAAGGAATATGTCAAGTTGTTTGAGGTTATGTTTTACTCTGTCATCCTTAAACCAGACTATCAGCTGGCAGTTAGCTATTCTCCCAACTAAGGGTACAGATATTCATATTATTCAACCATACATCATCTTTACTTTATATTATACAATCAAAAAGAATTCAAAATTACCAACAATGCAAGGGAGGCAAGCTTCCAAATTAGTCAATATTATTAAAAATAGTTACATTCCCAAGATTTCGTCTGGAAAAAACAATCAAACAAAGACGGAGAAAACTAACCCCAATTCTTTCGGACGTACTCTTGTGGATATTTTTTATTACTGTTAGTTAACTTTTGTGAAAGTAAATAGGTATATATTGAACTCAGGCCCTCGACATCTTTTTTATGATTTAGACAATTATCACAATTATAAATGTAA